GGGAATATGTCAATGCTATCTGCCTGTTCATGTAATAGTAGCCTGTAGATGTAACTGTTATGCAATTTATCAGTAACTTATTTTGTTACCTCATCTTGTTATGTGAAAGTACTCTCAGATAATATTTAAATGTTACACCAAATGTTGCTGTTTATATTAGTTAATGTATTATAACCGCACAAAACACGGGGAGTTTCTAAGCAAGGATAAGTTGGTAAGCCACTACATAAAGTTGGATAGTTTTGTAATAATTAATCTTAATCAATTTTGTTTTATAACTTTTCTGTTTTCATTGTTTGTCTGTTTAATTAATGAGTAAACGTTATATGAATTCCTCTATAACACATTATAATAATTTTGTGCTCTCTTAGTTATATTTGTTTATTTTAAACTAGCTGTTCCCGTGCGGCTTCATCCGCATGAAATAATGAAAAATTTATTTTATTGTTTGCATTTGTCAAATTATCAATTGCACATGTCAAAATGACATTACATGACAAAACTTAACAAACTTGCTTCCTTGATGTTGGCAGCAACTTATGGTCTCTTTCCCACATTAGGGTTTTTATCCAAAATATTTACCCCCTAGGTTTAATGGCGTAAAAATATATAGCCTAAAGCGTGACGTAAGTGTAGGGCTTTTTATTAAAAAAAGAATTATTCAAGAATATGCTGTAATTTCTTACATCTTAGGCAACAAAGAAGTGTGTGTTTACGCTTTATGATAATATAGATAGATAGGTATATAGATAGATAGTATAGAAGTATAGATAAAATAGATGAATGGGTTTTGTATTAAATGACAAAGATCAATAAAATTTAAATGTGATTATCGTAGACCATCACCCTTATTTGATGTGAGTAAAAGGTATTTTTGTTGTAAATCAATAGATATTTTCCGTCCGTAAAATTCGTTACGCGTAATGAAGGAAGCCACATAATTCGGCTGTAACAATGTATTACTAGAATAGCGTCGTATTTTGCCGCAATGAGGGTAAAAGGAAAACGGCAACGGAATCCAAAATTCCTTTACAAAACGTAAAGAATGGTTTGTCATGCAAAGCGAAGACCTCCCAAAGGGACTTATGTTCCATTTCTGATAAATAAACTTAAAAGGGTCGGGTTATTCCCTTGGGAAGTTGACTTGGTCACAAACGCCTGATGGGGGGATGACCTTTTCACTAATGAAATAACATTGAAATTAAAATTGACTTTAGACCATCTGGTAAGTCTTAGAAGTGATAAGCGTTTATTGTTTGAGATTAGAGGGACGGGGAAATTGCCACAAGTTATGTTAGAAGACATTTTGTAAAGCAAATGCTAGTCATTAGCACTCGGTTGTACGGAACGATAACTACGTAAATATGTTATTTGTGTCGACCATATCATTTAAAGCGGATTATAGATAAACATTTATCTATACTAATATAAAGAAGAGCGTCGGTGGCTCAGTGGTTTGAACACTTGACTTGTAATCTACAGGTCTTGGGTTCGAATCCCGCCATGTACCAATGTGATTTCCGATTTTTTCGAATTTTCATATGTACATAATTTACCCGACGTTCCTACGGTGAAGGAAAACATCGTGATGCCTGCACATATCGGCGAAGAAATTCAAAGATATGTGTGAAGTCAACCAACCCGCACTTGGCCAGCGTGGTTGACTATAGCTTAGTCACCCCATATTAGGGTAGGCTCCGAGCCCCTCGGTGGGGACGTGTAGTGAGCTGGTGATGATGATGAATATAAAGAAGTTTTGTGTTTTTGTATTTCATTAACTCAAAAACTACTGCACCGATTACAAAAATTCTTGCATCATTAAAAATAAATTATCACTGAGTAATATATTTTTACTATTTTTTAACGCGGACGAAGTCGCGAGCGACAGTTATTCTATACTAATATTATAAAGAGGAAAACTTTGTTTGATTGTAATGAACAGACTCAGACTACTGGGCCGATTTTAAAATCGGTTAGAAAGGAAATTTATCTGTGCGTAACATAGGCTATGTTTTATTATTTTAAAATTTCATGCGGATGGAATCGCGAGCAAAAGCTAGTATTTAAATAAATTGATTTTCAAAAAATAATGTTATAATTCGCCACTTTTAGAATACCATTTGATTCTTGTTATTTCTGTTCAAATTTGAAACAGTCTTTAATGTTCTTAATACGCAACCTGGCCTTGTAATTCCATAAAATATTCTAGTGAAAAAAATGTTAGAAACTGGTAAATTTACGCCATTAACTAAGCTCGTGTTTTTGTTCTTGTCAATAAAGTTAGCTCCTCTAGAGACTTCAAATGACATCCACAAAGTTTTCGACATTTTCCTGCACGATAATTATACGGGGGAATATCACACCCCTTGAGTTCCGAGAACATGAATTTCAATATAACACCACACAACTTTAATTATAGGTGTCAAACGACTTTAATCAACAAAATCGTTGCTTGTAATTAAAGTTCGGAATACGTTAGTGGACAAACAGAATTTCTAGTGTAATTTAAAAGTTCTAAACAAAAAATACATTTAATAAATTGACTTAAGTGTTCGCCGCACCCGTGTTTCGTACATTTCGTGACCACACAACGGTGAAATCATGATGTCAATTAGAATGGTAATTAATTAGGACAGCAAGCTTAATGGTCTACGAATGAAAAGTGAGGCCGTTCACTAATGAGATGACAGTATAATGAATACTGCTAGTACTAATCTGTCTTAATCTGAATAATTAACACTCACACATCGTGTACTTAACACAGGGAAATTACAAATGTTTGTAAAATTTTAACAGTAACAACAAATGGAACAAATCTTACACTAATATTTTAAACTACCTGTTGGCCGCGATTCAGTCCGCGTGAAATTATAAAATAATATAAAACTTAGCCTAACTTACTCACTGACAACATAGCATTTTAATGGTGAAGTAATTTTTGAAATCGGCCCAATAGTTTTTGATTTATTTCACTACAATCAAACAAGCAAAGTTTTCCTCTTTATAATATTACTAAGATGTGAACGTTTAGATGTATCAATATCTGTCAAAAGATTTCTGCAAAACCAGTTTAACGCATCCCAATGTTTAGCACAGATGTAGAACACAATCTTGAAGAAGGAAGAACCTTTTAATTTTTATAATTATTTTAAAACGCACTGATGTTGAAATCGTTGCTAACTTCTCTTATGTAAAATCGTAATGAATACCAATGTTAACATAGCAACGTATATCTCGTTTAATAAATCAAAATATACTCAGCAATCTGGTATTGTAGTCTCGGGGTATTTCATCCCGTAGCTATGCTACGGTAGACTATGTTATGATTTCAGATTGGCTGAAACTGTATGGAGATAATATTTGTCTTGTTAGACATTCATTTTATTAACTAGAGCTTTTGTAATTCAATTATTTCAAGTGTGGCGTATTTAAAATTTTGCTAACTTTATTTCTACAATTTGTTAATTAAGGCTTTGTTTTAATTTTATATAATACCAGCGACACGCATGGCTTAACACGAATATTAAATCATGTAAAAGCAAACTATTCTTTCTACCGTAATGTCTATTACAATGTTAAATTTTTATTTAATTGAATAAAAAGTGTAGAAATTTTATATCGAATATTTCAGTCTATAATAAAAACAAATATTTTTCAGTACTAATTGTCGCGTTTGGAAACGCGATGGGGTATCTTTTATAAAATATTTTGGTAATGTTTACGTACAGTCGCTGCAATCCACAGTGGTTCATTTTCATAAAAATTGCCTTGTTCATTACGAGACAAACTCACTCTCTTCTTCCAAATAACTTATTAGGTAGCAGTACGTTACGTAAACTACGGTATAATTTAAAACATATCGTGTAAACGCTGAATATTTTATTACAGAGGCATTTAACAGTTGTAGGACACAATATGGTGGTTATTGTTCTGCGTCGTTACGCGTCTTTAGTTTTCATGTATAACACCGCCAAATTACCCGATTGTAGATACAGATTTAGTACGTGTCTCAAAGACAGTTGAAATTAAACTATTCTCCTTTGTGCGGACTTGCTCTGCTCGAACTGAGGTTAACCTTCAAGTTTGTGTACGTGACTCGATCTACAAATCTATCAAACTTAACTTAAGGTAATTGAAGTAGCCTTGTTATACAAAGACTTATTGAATATACGTCTAAATTTTACAATAATGGGTTATGGAAATATTATAATAAACTGGTTATGGAAGATTTTTAATGGTAGTAATCAGTAAATGAGGTTTTAGGTACCAAAATTTTAGTCCATATTTAAAATAATTCAGAATAAAGAACAAAACATTATTAAACCATCATGTAGCTAAAAACTAACACTTTACAAAACCAAATCATATGATTTTCGTTTTCATCTAATCATCGAAAAAAACAAAAACAAAACAACGTAATTAAAAAAAACTGCAAAATAAACTTTTTAACAAGCAGTTATAAATTACCTTACTTAGCATGTCTAGTGGTCATATAGATAAGATAAGTTATAAACTAAGTTGCATTTGTTTTGCAGAGCCTGCTGCGCGGGTAGGATGCGGCGGCATGCACCGCGCAGTGCTACTAATGGCGGTGCTCACCACCACCATCGCCCCACAAAGCAACATAACAGGTAAACTTAATAAATCAGTCAAGTACTTAGGTGAAACTTAATCTACACATACATGTAAATCTTAAATTGAATTTTATCATAATAAAGTATTAGTAAAATATAAAAAAAAAAGTATTTTATTGTTGGAATAAATTTATTTTTGATTAAATGGCTGAAACTGCCTGAATGCAGAATAATAATGATATTGTAATTTGTAATCTAAACTATAAAGAAATTATATGTACCACAAATTAGTGTAAATCATTCTAAAGTAACTACAATTTTAAGTACGATGAAGGCAAGATTTTAAGTTAGGTTTTTCTAAATAGAGAATAAATAAACGGTTTAATAATAAATAAACAAAATAATATATTTAGAGACAAAGGCTTCACAATATAAAATAACTTACTACTTTATAAAGTCCATTGTTATGTAAAACTTAATCAAATTGCAGTAAAAATATATAATTTTTTAATCTATGTGACTAATGATTGCAGCGACGTAAGTTATCAGCTACGCGGCTGCTACGAAGCTGCTACGCCACGTAGCAATGTGATTAATAAGTTGCGGCACGTAGGTTTCAAAGAAATTATGTACTTCGTAGAATTCTATTTTATTATAATAATTAACAATTTAACGTTGGTTAATTGGTGTTAATCATATTTATAAAACTTTAAATAAAACTAACTGTTCTATTTCAAACCAGATGCCATAATAATTTCAAACACTATAACAACTTTAAAAACTCCTAAGATCTCTAACAAAGAGCTCAGTTGAAATCTTAATTCAGTCCAACAAAGCTGGAAAGAATAAACTATTAAAGAACTAGAGCGTCGTACTTAAAATACAATTTGTAGAAAATGTTGCAAATGTCATTTAAGTTTGTGTAGACTTTAAATTGTATTATAGAAGTGCCAGGTGTTGAAATGTCAAGCGCTATCAAGAAAACTACAATGATTGTCCCGACGTCGCACATAATAAAGTCGATGGCAAACAAGACGAGACGACTACCAACACGTAAGGGGAAAGGGGACTCGCCGATGTTAAATTACATCTTTGATTCGTACGCGACAAGTAACAAGCATTTCCATGACAAGTAAGTACTTATAATAGTGTGTATTTAATTGTACCAATACTCATAAGTAACAAACAAATGACGTGAAAATACCAAGGCATCATTTTCACCGCTGAAACACATATCTGTTATTGACCTCATTTGCGGTGTACTAAAATGCATGGGTTTTGGCGTAAAACTTATGGATACGGTTGTTGTATTGACTTTTGTTATAAATGTCCATGTTAATGCAGTGTAGTTGCTTATCTGACAAGTATAATTGCAACACCTTGCTGATGGTTGTTTGCATATCATAATAGTTAACCAGTACAGTGAGCACAGTACAGTTTAAAATCAAAGTATTGGCGTAGTATCAGCTGTAGATAAGACATCAAATACATATTTATTCCGCGTGTCTCATTTAGGATAACATTATAATACACTGTGTCCTGTAGCATTTATCGCATATCTTATATTTTAGTCAGTAGCTTCTTTATATAATACTAGATTGCGCCCGCGACTCCGTCCGCGTGGAATGAAAAAACAAAAGTGAGTAGCCTATGTGTTCTTCCAGACTATCTTCTACGTTTACAAAAAATTTCATCGAAATCCGTTCAGCCGTTTAGGATACAAACTCTGACAAAGTTCCATCCATCTATCCGTCTAGCTAAACTATCTATCGCATTTGTTATATAAGTATTATTATTTAATTTATTTACTATAGAAAAGCGGTTTATTTTTTGTATTGCATTATGAATTTCTTGATTAATACGATATTAATAAAGCATTAATTTAATGCTTACTAAAAGTTGCCTGTTAACATAATTACAAAATAATCATACAAAATCTTGATTAGTCATTTGAATAAATTTCAACCGATTCATGTTACAACTAAACAATCGTTTTACGGCGTTATTAATTATTGATTCTTATCTTTGTTATAATTTCATAAAATTACACCACTTTATAAGGAAAAATTATTTCAATGCTACTCATTTTTAATCGAAACTTTTTTGAGGCCGGTATCTAAGTAGATTTTATTTAGCTTTCTTCCGCGTGGAGTTAAACAAAAGTGAATAGTCTATGTGTTCTTTAAGACTATGCCACACTTCTATACATCTATGCCAAATATCATCGAGATCCCTTCAGTCGTAGAAACATCCATCTAAACATTCGCATTTACAAACTTACGAATAAAGATTCAGTCACAAATTTATTATGCTGTACTTCAATCTTTCATAGCTTATTTCTGTGACTGAATGCAACGAAATAAGGCAAATTTGTATTGTAACGAGTACCATTCAAGCTTATTGCGCCGGATGTACGAATTCGCAAAAAGAAACAACATAACAGAGTTCAGAAGTGGGGTACTTATTTATTTTCAACAGTTGGGGATTTTTTATTTGTATTATGTCATTTTTGCGTAGAATTAAAACAAAAGTATACATCCTTGCATATTATTATCTCACAAAATTTCTTCGAGATCCGTTCATCAGTTTAGGCTGCAAACTCCAACAAGTATCCATCTAAACTTTCGCAATTATATAATTTGTAAGATAAAACGCACAGAAAAATATATACCTAACGTTCTGTTTGAGTTAAGCAGTTAGAAATACAATTTATACAAAGATGTGCCATTCGCGTGGGAGGTCCGTAATAAAATTGTACAAACCGGTGCCATAAAATAACACCAACGCATACGTATACGAATTTCCATTTTAAAGCTCCATTTTTGTTGATCTTACCGTAGGTATGGTTTTCACATTAAAGTTTTATGCCGCAAACCTTAATCATACTTCATACTAATATAATGTTTATTAGAGTTTGTAGCCTAAACGGCTGGATAGATTTCGATAACATTTTGTATATAGAGGACACTTTGGACGGACACATACGCTAAACGCTTTTATTGTTTTTTTTTTTAATCTTTAAGCTAGTTATTGATAAATTGTAGGTTATAAAAATAGGAATAAGTTACTAAGCAATTTAATCAACTTAAAATATCTGAAAAAACATATGGCATTATGATAGGTGCTTATAAATGAAGAAAAAAATGCAAAATAACAGCACACTTGCATTTAAAGAAGCTTTAATTTAAGATTAATCATCAGGTTACTATTTTATGTTCCACTAACGAGCTTGTAGCCTAACCTAACTTAAGGGTGACTAGGTCAATCACGCTGGCCCAGTGAAAGTTGTCTTCACACATATCTTTGAATATCTTCGCCGTTGTAGGCATCACGGTGTTTTCCTACTCTGTATAATTGGATAAATGTATAAATGAATTTCGAGAATCGATGAAACACTTTAAATGGCGGAATTCGAACCCAGGATTTGTAGACAAGTCAAGCACTTAACCCACCAAACCACCAACGCGATTACTAAGAAACTACTGTGAAACGTTACATAGTCTGTACTATGAACGAACGTTAGCCTTTTTATGCCTAGTTTACACAAAATAAGACGGAGAAGTTTCAAATAATCTCTCTAGAAAGAATATAAAAGCTAAAACTACTCCAGTAGTGGTTATATCGTTACAAAGTGACGTTACAAGGCGCAATATTGGCACGATAATGGCGTCGAAGAGCCATAAACGGTTTAGTAACTTCTTACGACTTAAAGTTTCGAGTTCGCACTGCACAGAAGTGTCAATTGCAAACTAACAGAAGTGACAAAGAGACTGCTGTTAAGAAAATAAAATTACATAGCAAACGGCAGCTAGCCGGCGTTGAAAACATAGCAATTTGCCACAATATACTCAAATTTGCATGTTATTCTCGTACGAATGTAAATTACGTACATATCAAAATTTTCATCTGTACTACTGCTGTTTCGTTTTAAAATTGTTTCTTTTTTATACTTTTATGTTTTGTTTTAATTTTAGTTTTATAATATTAATTACAAATACGACATTTAAATACTTTAATTTGATATATTGATCTTATTTTTAAAAGCTTCTCCTATTTTTTCTACCGTACATAATTTTAATAAGATTTTTATTTATTATTATTTATTTATGTATTTATATCACCTTAACCGCATTACAATAAAACCTTGGACTTCCACTGCTGTAAAACTTATACAGAACTAGCTTTCGCTCGCGACTCCGTCCGCGTGGTATAAAAAAACCAAAAGTGAGTTGTCTAAGTGTTCTTCCAAACTATCCTCTACATCTATACCAAATTTAATCGAAATCCGTTCAGCCGTTTAAGCTACAAATTCTAATAAACATCCATCCATTCATCTATACTTTCGCATTTATAATATAAGAAAGAAGAAAGATTTTCATTATTGACATTCCCTTTAAAAAATAGTTATAAAAAATTTCGCCATTCGGAAGGGTAAAATTCTGACTTATGCGTAGATTCCGAGCGCCATCATTTGAAGGGGACGTAAGCTCAGAAGACACACTACTTGAGGCTGATACGGGAGCTACAGTCTTATTTGACTGTCAAGTATTTTCTTTAAGAGATAAAACGGTAAGTTGCATCCAAAACTTAGTTTGGTACAAATTCACTTTATCTTGAACCTGTGAAACGATTTTTTCAACTATAAAAGTCGAGTTATTGTTATTTTTTTATTGAAACGCAATCATTAAAATATTTATGTCCTTGCCATAGATAAAAGTAAATGATGTTACCTTATTTTTTTTTCTGATGTGTAATGTACAATATTACCTTTTACTTTAGTTTCTAAAAAAAATAGGTTGGTCAGAACCCTGTGGATTCTTGTTGAGTAGTTTACAATTTTGCATTTCGTAACAAAATTTCCAATTAAAAGTTATTTAATTTTTATCTTCAGACGATTTGATTAAAGATTTCTTTCAGGTATCGTGGATTAAAGTTTCCGAGAATGAAAATCTAGAATTACTAACATTAAATCTAGATACATACACAGCTGACAACAGGTATTTTAAATTCAATTGTATAAAAATATAATATTGCACCTCTGTGATAAATATAATATTAAGAGAATATTGCCTTGATATTGGAATTCCGGGAAGCATCGCTTGAGGCGAGACGGGACGAGGTGTAAATTAATACGAAGGTATTGTGTCTCGCGCTATGCGGTCCCCTTGATACGATTGTGGGGACAAAAGACTCGATCGTGACTGTCAGATGAATACAGTAGTACATGGTAATTCAATTATAAGGCAAATTGCAAAATTGTACAATTGATTGTAACAACTTTTATTAATATTATTGCAATATTAGGTATGTTAAGTGTTAGTATTAAGATTGAATATGACAGAAGAAAGTATGGATGGATTGTGGGAGGATATGCTTAAGAAGGAAATGAATTCAGATATGACGGCAGATAGAGATGTATGGAAGACCAACAATACGCCGACCTTCCGTAGGGACAAGGGCAAGGTGGTGGTATTACAGATCATCATCATGATCAGCTTGCCCTTGTATCTATGAAGGAACAAGGGCTAGTTATAGATATATTACCTAATCTAAATATTACAATTGTTAACGCTAGCAAAGCGGTAAATACGTACAACCTAAGACGGCTAAAGGTCATAGACAAATATCGATTAAAAATATTTTTTTCATAATAACATACTTTTAATTGCAACTGCCTCTTTTGCCTTTTTTAAGTCTCCTTTTATTTGGTTTTTTACAATGTGTACGATGATAATGATGCCTTAAAGTTACAATTTTCTCAATACTTGTTTTCGTTCAAAAGGTACCGAGTGGACGTGGCCGGTGAGACTTGGAGGCTGTATCTATCAAACGCTAAAGAACAGGATTCTGGTATATATTGCTGCCATGTGTCAACGCATCCTCCAATGTTGAAAAGATTCAAGTTAATTGTTCACAGTAAGTTTGAGTTTTCACTTAGGATCTAACGGTATAAAACCTTATACATATCTCTGTCTTTTGCAAAGGAGGATAAGAATGCTTATACATTTGTGGACAGGAGTTTTCAGTTTGCAGTATTCAGTGGAAACCTACTATTAATTAATTCCCAACATCTTACTAATATTATAAATCTATACTATTATAATAAAGCGTAAACACACACTTCTTTGTTACAGCATATTTTTGAATAATTATTTTTTTTTATAAAAAGCCGTACACTTACGTCAAGCTTTAGGCTATATATTTTCACGCCATTAAACTTAGGGGGTAAATATTTTGATAAAAACCCTAATGTGGTAAAGAGACCATAAATTGCTGCCAACATCAAGGAAGCAAGGTCGCCATGCTTTGTCATCATGTCATGTCATTTTGACATTTGCAATTGACAATTTGACACATGTAAACAAAAAATAAAATTTTCATATATTTATGCGGATGAAGTCACACGGGTAGAGCTAAGATAGAGAGAGAGAGTACTACTTATAATTTGAAAAAGTTTAGGTGGATGGATGTTAGAGTTTGTAGCTTAAACACCTGAACGGATTTCGTTGGAATTTGGTATAGATGTAGAGGATAGTCTGGAAGACGACATAGGCTAATCACTTTTTTTTAATTCCACGAAATCCGAGTCGCAGGCGAAAGGTAGTTAGTTATAAAATAAATAAAGTTTCACGAGATTAACGTTTTATCGAATTTTAATTTCAAAGTGCTTTTGACTTACAATTTTTTTTTTACGAATAATGAATGTCTGTTTATTCCACAAATTACGTTTATAAAAAAGTAGTTGTTCAGTAAGCTTGAGTAATAGAAAATTATTACCAATTCTAGTAACACTTTATTCAAATTAAGAGTTATAAATTGCCTCACTTTACGAGTCTTATTAATTTTTTTTAAGGACAAAACCATTTCTTACTTTTACAACGTAATTATATAAACGGAAACATAAAAAATTTGTAATTATAGTGCCTTCCTGTAATTAAGACCTTGGCATCGACTTTGAGTACTAATGACGAGTATATAACGATAGGTTTCTGAAGTTTCCATTTATTTTATTGTTGCCTAGCGATTCGTTAACGTTAGGTTGACGTAAGTTTCAATGGAGTAAAACTCAAATTACGTTGTTCATTCATTTCATGAAATTATCTAAGAACACTAACGAATAATTAATTGTGTTTGGGAAACCGGCTATAAATGATCATAATAAGTCTGTTTATCCTTTATATGGTATAACTTTTCACTTTTTTTTTTAAATTCTATACTTTGATATTTTCTTTTCAAACTAATTACTTTAGTGAATTTTTAACGTATCTTGCAATAGAAGCTTTCTAGTGAGTTAACTAGCATTCCCCTGCGACTCCGTCTTCGTGGAATTGAAAAAATACACTCAGTAGGTAGCTTATGTGCATTGCCAGGCTTTGTTCTACATCTGGTTAAAATCGAGATCTATTTAGCAGTTTCTAAAAACTGAATCAAACATCCATCTAAACTTTGGCATTTATAATGTCAGTAGTATAATTATTAAACAGTTTTGTAGTTTCAGAGTTTTTCTAATAACATTTTCTGCTTTACTCCAAACTATGAACTAATATTATTAACTTTTTATAGTACACCGTCCCTGTAAAATTCATTTCAATTAAGTTTTCTTTTGAAACGAGCGTTTCATTGAACCGAAGGACAAATTAGCCGCAAAGGACTGTCGTATCATCGGGCGTGGCGTTAACAATTTTTGTGTTCATTTTTCATTTTGTAAATTTGATTATAACGTTGATAGCACAGAATTTTATTAACAATTTTTGTATTTGACAGCCCTATTATGAAGTATTATTTTACGTTGCTTAGAATAAGGCTATAAAGTTAAAAGAGTAAATAAATATGTAGGTACCGTAGACCTGCTACCAAAACAGACAAAATTTTATAATTTTACTAGCTTCCCCCGCGACTCCGTCCGAGTGCAGTAAAAAAATGGGAGTATCCACGTGTTCGTCCAGTATATACTCTCTACATCTATGCCAAAAGTCATCGAGATCTATCAAGCTCTTTAGGCTACAAATTTTAACAAACATCCATCAATCTAAAATTTTGCATTTATAATATAAGTAAGCGAGTATTATCATCTATTTTAATGTTTATTATTTCTTTTCACATCAGGCAGCATTTTCTTAATAGATTTATTTTCTAGGGCCAGAAATAAGAATGAGCAAAGAAGCTTTCTTAGAGAGCGGGGAAACATTATCACTGAAGTGCACGGTTGTGCATTTGACGTCGGGGGAGGCGCCACCCACGTTGCATTGGTACAGGGGCAATGTTACCGCGCCTCTCGACGAGATACGAGGAGGGGTGCTAATTGAAACCGATCATCTCGCTATGACGTCACATTTACAGGTAACAGAATAAAACGAAGAAGAAACCGCGTCACACGTCATACAATACTGCCCGGTAGCGATCCAGGGTTAGATATGCAGGGTCGCCGAGATCGTTCCCAGAGATCACCAGCAATATTAATTTTCTGGGGTTCTTCGGAGAATTGGGTTGGCTGGAGATCTCCAGCCCATGGATTACCGTTCCCAACAGTATGGATTACCAAGCTTGTTCTCACGCAAAAACGCGCCGTCGAGTTTCGAAATCCGTAGCCCCTACTACCATTAACAGTACAAAACAATCGTCATCTGAAGTATTTTGAAACAGATTACTTAATTATTACTTTAAGGTTATTACTAAAATAAAATCGAAATGAGAATTTAGAACTATTGCTCATATTCTTTGGGTAATCTATGCTTGCTTGCTAAAGTTTCCAATTAATTTATCATTACCTAGTGGTTAGTGTTAGGTTATTCTAAGTTTTTACGGAGTAAAATTTATGTTTTAGAGCTCTGAAACGCATTTAATGAAGTTATCGAACCAAAAACACTAACGAATGATTAAATATAGATGGGAAACTGGCTATAATGTTTCAAAGGTACAAAATACATCCGTTGAAAATACAAAACTACATATATCATTTTGTATTTCATGGTACACTATCATAACTGTAAATCTTACATTAAAATTTCTTGGAGCACATCTGAGTAGGTACTTTATATTTTCCAGCACGTCAACATAACGGTTATTTAAAGAAGAATAACACGTAATTTAACCTGTGGATTTACATGCGTAAACAACGTTATATCTCATTGAGCCCGAGGGTTACATCCCTTTATCTTTTTAAGCTAATTTACCTCATCGTTTTATACTTTTTTAGATGATTCTCATACAAACTGTTAGTACAATGTGTGTGTTATTTCAAAAATTGTATTTCAATAAGTTTGTACACGAATGACAGTGGTAGACGCTACACATCTGTTGCAGGAATGGTCTCACTTCGTGCAATATCACGACCACACGGAAAATAATTATGAAACGTCACGTTTCGTCTAATGTGTCCATGCCGGAGGCCTAATTTTAATTTTAACATTTGCCACATGATTATTTCGATATTTTAAATCAAATTTTCAAGTAAAAAAAAAAATGTGAAATTCACATTCAGAACTAGCAAAGATAAAATGTAAACTTTCATAAAATGTATTTATTTTGATTATATCACATATGAAGGATCAAAAACTTGTTAATTACCAAAATTCGAATACCATTTGACATTTAATCTAACCTCAAACTGGCTTAAGAATTATTAACTTAGTGGGTTACGAGGTTGTCAAATAAGCGGCCTTCTATACCGTGAAATATAACAGCCGTAACCATTGTTGTCTCTATTTATTCAGTTCAAATGAGTGAGACGACATACTTTTTTTAGAACAGCTTCGACAGTGTAGGGAATTAAGCCCCTTCACAAAACACCGGCGTATACAAATTATACGTGGAGTAATTGCGTCATTTTTGCCGTCGCTTTTACTGTTTCATATTACACTGGCACACCCATATGTCTAAATTATTAACGTTCACAGTTGACTCTTTTAACCTACTTTCGAATTTATACTGTTAAAATGATACGTTATAGCATTATGTTTTTCCGTATTTCCGTATTTGAATAATTAAATTGATATTGGACATAATTATCGATAATTTTATGTTTACGAATAAAAGTAGCCTTCTATTACATTGTCTATTTTAAAATAGTACTGGCTGTTCCTGTGCGGCTTCATCTGCATGAAATTATAAAAAAATATTTTATTGCTTACATGTGTAAAATTATCAATAGCAAATGTCAAAATGACATGACATGACAAACCTTAACAATCTTGCTTCCTTGATGTTGGCAGCAACTTATGGTCTCTATCCCACATTAGGGTTTTTATTCAATATATTTACACCCTAAGTTTTATGGCGTGAAAATATATAGCCTAAAGCGTGACGTAAGTGTAGGGCTTTTTATTAAAAAAAAGAATGATTCAAAATAATGCTGTAATTGCTGACATCTTAGGCAACAAAGAATAGTGTGTTTACGCTTTATTATAATAGTTTAGATAAAATGTAGAGGTTAAATAAAATAGGAATCGCGTGTTCTTGACAAAATCGATCTAAACAATTGAAAACAACCACCAAAAATCACAGCAACATCATCAATTTGTCACCAATTAATTTTGTATGTAACGGTATCGCACAAAGTAACTGTCAAAAATAAACATTATAATATCTAATATGCGAATTAAACTTATACATCGATCTACTTGTACATTGTGACATAAAAAACTACATATGAATCTTAATCCTAATTAAAGTTAAAAATAACACGCTCCCGCTATCAGTGGCACCCCACATCGACCTTTGCCGTCTAGGCACTATAATGTTACCTTCGTTCTCTCTAAATTACCGCAATATATTTGCGGAGTAAAGTGTAAGTGGGGACTTAAATATTTTCTCCTACTGTTAAGGTAGTATTACATAAGAGTACAGTAATTTATGAAGACAAGGATAGCGATTTAATGGAGAGAACTTACTCGGGGTGTGTTCTCATTTTGAAATATAAGTCGCTATACGTTTTTTTTACGCCTATACGATTCCTACACTTACGATGTTCATATATTTTTTCTTACTGAATTTCGGATGATTATCACCACCAACCTTAAGTTTGGACTGACTAGGTTACAGTTAACAGCACCGGTACATACAGTTGGTTGACTTCACACATATCTTTGAATTGACAGCTTTTGTTATTAAATTACGAATAAATGCGTTATAACAACTTATTTATCTATATATGTCTCATATTGTCAATTTTTTAGGTTGTTTTAACATACGCACGATGTAAAAGATTAAGACGAAATGTTAATAATTTAAAAATGCCGCAGGTCGCTGGCCTGAAAGTGGAAGATGCGGGTAACTACACCTGCGCCTTAGAAGCTCCTTTAATTATGAAAACCGTTGCAAGGGTTCATGTCTTACAAGGTTAGTAAACATTTTTATGCGTTGTCCTATCCAAATTTCATTTACGAAAGCGTACTTAAACTCAACTAATTAAATCTGAGGAAAAATACTTAGTTAAATTATGAAAAAAGTTAAAAAAATTATGATTCAGATAATTCAGAATAATAATTGAGAATGTCAGTTAATTTGTAATCTGTCAATTTAAAATACTGGTTGGTAAAGAGTCGAGTTAAATTTTAACGAACTTTTTATTTAAGCCCCTATTAGGACGGGCGCTTTTTTAACGCGCACTATAACGATCAAATTGAACAAATGCAATTCCATATATCCCTTTATACGGCAGCGATTACAACGTGTTTTCGAGCAGTGTTACATTTTGAGCGCGAGCGTTAAAAAATCGTTAACGCGGAGCGTTAAAAAAGCGCCTATACAAATAAGAGCTGAAAATTTTAGAATTTTCATAAATAGAAAAAGAAAATTGTTTAATTAAACTTTATTATAAATACAGGGTCTAGTCTTGCAGAACTACAAAGCGGGGTGAAGTCTACATCCATCTACCTTAGTCTGCTCGTCACTTCTATACTCGTTAATTTAATCATTTGTGGCGACATAAGATGACCTATTTAGGTAACTAGTATCACATAGGAACGGAAGCAAATGCTAATGAAAGGCTGGATAACGCAAGAATTTCAAACATGGGGAACAAGTTATTTGTAAAATTAATCGGTTGCAAACATACTCAAAAACAACGCTACATTCGCTTAAGGAAACTTCTTAACGTAATAAAATCCTCCTAGAAGTAATCTTACTTGTCGGTTTAACATGTATGAAAAAAAAAATAACTGCAGTTTTTAAAAATTTTCTATAACAAATCTATAGTAATTGCGAATGCGTTTAAATAGAAATTGAAGCAAAATAACTTTGAATATTTTAATGTATTCATCGATTCAGAAATAAATTGAGTTAATAGACTATTGGTCTACTAAAATCTGGAATATAATTCTCTTCTAATATCATTCAACGCCATTCATCTACATTCAACTGTCAATGTCTCAATGATGAACTGAATATATTATTTTTTAATCAATGTAAAATCTTCTTGTCATAAATAAAATCATTTTAAATAGTACTGTCGACACAAAAGGTTATTAATTCGTAAGAGCGCCTGCACACTTTTGAGTAAAATATCGCACAACTGTGTCTCTTTGATTTCTATGAGCTTAGATCTGAATGAATCTGCGAAACAATCGACAATCGCACAATAATAGAGCGATAGTTTAGTCAAGGTGTCCACCCATTCTAAATCTTTTATCAGAAAAAATATTCCCTGTCATAGGATCAAATATATTGGAAGAATAAAAGAATATTGTAGAAGCAATTTTCAACGTTTTCGATATGCCATCAGATGAAACGCGGTCATATTTTCCGTGATAGTAATCATGTTATTCGTAGAAAACCTTTTCGCTGATTGATATATTGATGATTGGTTTCTTTATCGACGTTACTTCCCCCGTGTAGGATACCGTCCAAGGATCCTCTTAATTTATGAGGACTGTCAGAGAAATTGGAAATGTAAATAATACTAATAGTTACTTTACTAAAGTCTCTTCTTGTAGTCTTCTTTTGTTCTTTTTTTTCGTAAAATGTTTTTATTTTAATAAAATGTTACTTGTTACCTATGCTACTCACTTCTATGTAGATATTATGTTGCACTAAATGTCTGCAATAATTGTACATATCACGAGAAAACTATAAATATCTTGATGTCATATCTTGTATTTGCACTTATTTGTAGAGTATTTTATATACCTTAAACTTAATGTAAGGTTGAAATAGATTTAATTTGAATTATAAATTTATAATTTAAGGTTATAGGTTATATATTTATTCGTTATTTTATTTACTATATTAATATATTATATATGTTATTTCTACTTGAATTTTCAAGACATATTAGTTAAGTAACAAATAAGACCAATAATCATTAAAAAATAAAGAAAATTTATATTAAAATTGAATTGATTTAAATCATAATTATGATGGAAATGTTAACAGATGTAAATAATGATTTTTATGTGAATATATTTAGTTGTATTGCGAAATTTGTAAAGTTTTACGCATATCAAAAATATATATCATTAAATTAAGTTAAATTGTCTATTTGAATATTTTATTTATAGTAGCTCGATAGTTACAAGTAAAATGGAAATAATTTGATCAAAAATTTATTTTACAAAATACATGAATTCACAAGAACAGCAAATGATCGAAATATGCCGACTCTCAAAATTATCGCTTTCCCGGAACATGTAAATCAAATGAACACTTTTGTCAGCAGATAAACTTTTATTGCATTTTCAGATATTAGCTACAAAATACCGTTTACATGTCTCATATATTTGTCGGTTATAACTGGTTGTGTAGGCAAATGTTTACCTATCAGTTGAACTGTACAATTAAAGTTTTGATTATATTAAGCGATTATATGTACGGGCTTTAGTTATTTGTAAAATTATTTATATAAATTGTTTGCATAGCACAATTCAAACTTAGTAACGGCTCGAAGTTTATACAAGACACGATGCAAGATAAAATGTCAAAGTCGGAGCCCAATTTTAGTCCCTTTTCCTTTCCACCCTTTTCTTGAGAGGAAGGGATGGGAAGGAAAGTGGATTTGACGGTGGAGGAGACGCATAGGAAGGGGAAATGCCCTCTTCATGTGCGTCTCCTTCTCCGACAACTAAGGGTACGCATCTGCAATTGCGGATGTTTATGTGTACTGGTCGCTTTCCATTTTAATGGATTCGGGTGGCCGCTGTCTCGTTTGCCACCTTATATTATATAAAAAAAGTCATCGGAATGTAAAGGGATGCGGTTATCTACCGCATCCAACTGTGCATATCTTTTCCCGAGCCGCAGTAAAGTTTGAATATTGTAATACTTTTATTACTTTACGTTTGTTGTGTTAGGATAATTAATTTACAAATGTACATAATACATAAATAAATTACTAATATTAAATGTGTCATTGTATGATGTTTATATTAAGATATCAGATAATCACATTTATAATATCGGTGCTTAAGTTGACTGTGGTTTATTTAATGTAAATTGTTATAAGTATTAAATGTAAAATATTTAGTACATCACTAAGATTTTATAATAAAGAGTATATTAAAACAGAAGTCTTTTATTTTTCTCTATTACGTCAGAATCTTAAGATACGTAAAAATGAAAGACCATTTGTCTATAACAATAATATAAAAGAAACATTTGTTTCTTTGCATTAAATAGGCCCAAAATCTGCTAAACCGATTTCAAAAACTCTTTCACTATTAAAGCTTCACTATCACTGAGTACCACAAGCTATGGTATGTTTATATATTATTATAACTAAATTTCTGTTACCCTGTGTTTACGTACACTTACACTCTCCATAACCTTACGAGTGAAGCCGTAAAGCCGTAGTTTGATTGTTTTCAATACATTTATGACGTTGCTACGATTATTTAATTCCATTTTGTTTTTCACCAAACATCTAAAAATTTTGCATGATTCCAAGATTAAATAAAAAAAAACGGTACTATTCACAAATAATAACTGTTCGTGATTTCAGCCAGAAGGTAACACAACACACTAAACAATCTGCCACAAACTTGTCATGCGAGTGAACATGTTTTGCCATCGGCTTTAGGGGATTTTGCGTTTTCCCTTTGCTGCGTGTTTCCTCTAGGATCAGCATTCTTATACGTTCTTGGATTTAAATACATTCCTTCGTTTCATCTAATCCTTTAAGTACAAAAGTACATCAAGAACAATAACAAATTTTACGCAAAAATTAAAACTGTAAGGAAACAAATTTAGACATCACTTTGTCTTATCTGCGTTCAAAAGTAAAATCTAATGCGGAAACAAAAGACAAAAGCATTCGAATAGCTTCAAAGCGTGAGCACACATTAAACTAAACTATCGCACAACTGTTTAGTCGCGTTTTGATTCCTATTAGCTTATATGGAGGTGCGCACACTACTCGATTTTTAGTTGTGCAACTAAACAATTCAATGGGCTGTTAAACAATCGACAGTCGCAAATTTGTACGATAGTCTGGTCGAAGTCGTGCGTCCGCTCTTAGTAGCGGTAGAATACTCAACATAACATATACGTTTAAATAAATTGAAGACATACTTGAGACAATAGAGTGGATTGTTGATCAGGTTACCGTATTGATATGAGACCGATTGAATCACTATATACAAGTAGGCTCTTAATTGCAACAAAGCAAACTTAAGATGGATCAATCAATGGTCAGGATAGCATTTGAATGTCTTCTACTAAGAGTGAATCTGAGGCTTCTCAATTTCTCTACCACTGGCGCTACTTACAAACTTCCTCTAATGTATACATTTAACTATTTTAGTTCTAAGTCATCAGCTAGCATGATGGAGTGCTACTTTATTTAACTTACGAGTATTATAAAGTTATTGAAGGTAGAAATATTTTTAAACAGCTTTACATTTTATGCAACACATTTTAAAGTTGGGCGAACTGTCCCGTCTTCAAGTGAACGTGAAATTTATACCGGAAACTGCATCGATACTTGAGAAAACAACTCAAAGAATAAGTTTCTTACTTTATGGAGATACTTGTTTGTAGAATGCATGCATCCCAGGAACTTTGTTAGCTTTGTAACAATACGTTTTTATTTTATTGTTAAATTCCTTTTTAACGATTGTGCGACGTGAAAAATGCTCTAAAGATTCAAATAATATATTTAATTTTGATTTGTTCGACGAAGCCATTTGCTGGCATAAAATGTGTAAATACTTTCCCCTCAAACTCCGTTCGCGCGGGATTAAAAACTAAACTTACTAGCCTATGAGTTCTTCCAGACTGTTCTACATCTGTGCCAAATTTCATCGAGGTATGTTCAGTAGTTTAGGCTACAAACGCTAACAAGCATCCATCCATCTAAACTTTCGTTTTATATTAGTAAGATAAGAAATATAACCCTTTGATAACCTGAACCACGATATAAGACGGATAAAATTTCTAATAGTTGATTACGAGATGAGTTTAAATTTAAAGAGACCAAAACCGTCAATAGTCAATATTTACACACATTAATAATCTTATTGCATTGCGATATTTATTGGGATCATTTTCATTGTAAATTATCATTATCATAATCTACTTCCGGGAGTGCGTGAATCGTGAAAATTTTGTCATTTATTGCAACTGGATTATTGCCGACTATATTGAAATGTTACCGCATTGCACCATACTTTGATAATGCAAAGAACTTGTAACACAGAAGCTGGCATTTATTCATCTAACTTAATGTAGAAAAATAAAAAATAATATACAATCTGTTTTACTAAGAGGTTATCAGAATAGTAACAACGGTTGAAACTGTTCGTGCGTAGACAAAACTTCAACTGAGTACAGATAAAAATATCATGCCACTCCCATCAACATTACCTATATATCATACTAGCCTTCTCCCGCGACTCCTTACGCGTGGAATTAAAAAAATCAAAAGTAAGTAGCCTATGTGTTCTTCTAGACTATACTCTACATCTATGATAAATTTCTTCCAGATCCGTTTAAAAATTTAGTATCTAAAACTCTAACAAAAGTCCATCTATCCATCTAAATTTTTGCATTTATAACTAAAAGAAACAAGATAAGACATCACTCGTCATGTCACTCAGATTTTATATAATATCAATTTTTAGCCTATTAGCCCATCCAAATGTTAGCCTATTTTACTTACTAATAGCGAAAAAAATACCGATTCATTACTTTCAAAGTTTATTCAATACAAACCGACAAATAATCAAATCATTCCACTTTATAATATTACTATAGATTAAATTAACCGTTTTGTATTTCAATATCATCGTAACACT